GGGAAGCAACTAGTGTGTTGACTATCCAATAAGCTTTTGCTTATCGGATATTTGACTAGTCGATTAGTTACTTACAGCTCCAGTGCAACTCAGGTCAAACTGGGTTCCCTCAGTAGTTCAATAAGTTAAAATGTACACATACACAAAACAGTATCTTTGCCTACTTTGAAGCTGTTAAAGTCACTGTAAAGAATCAGAAGGCTATTATAACTCCAAAAAGCATTTTTTATAAACTAAATTTTGCACACAACATGGGTATTTATTAGCAGGATGGAAAGTGAAATGCCAAAATATTTAACTATAATGAACAGCAATTACTATAATGTAAAAGCAACTTCAGGGCTGTAACAATTAATGAGTATAGGTCAGTACTGGAAAAGTCTCACAACTGAGTTGTCTTTCTCGGTTTGCCTAGGAAATTAAGTATTGTATGTAATCAAGGAAAGCCTGCTAGACTTCACAGATCCTGAGGATGTGTGTGACAATTAGGGATGGTTGCATTTTTTTTCTTTTATGAATTAAAATACTGTGTAAAGTCTTGATAAGTTTTTTATGGGTGATGCTCTTAACTTGGGACAGCATTTCGGCCTTAATCCTGATCTTCAGTTTCATGCATTTGAGTGAGATCCTTAACACTAAGCACTTTGTGAATATAGATATAGAAACACTCAGGTGTGTGCGTGCGCATGCATATATATGTTGAGAGACACGTATACATACATACCATGGGTAGAGTGCTTTAGTTACATTGTGCTTCAGTGAACATATTTTTCTCTGATTTGTAAGGCCTCTGAACTCCTTTGCACTTAAAAACTTAAATCACAACTCAGATTAAAAACAGTTATGGGATTCATTTCTTCTTTCATCCATTAAGAAATACAAAATTGAGTAAGGAATGAGAAAACTACAACGATCACCATGATGAGCACATAGTTGCTTCAGTTTCTAATAAAAGCAAAAACAGAGTATTTCAACACAAGTTGTTTTCCTCAAATCCATTAAAATTTTAAATGCTGCTAATTACTCTTTTCTGGGGAAAAAAAAATCAAAGATAGTAATTTTTAA